ACCTAAATCCCTCCAGCGAGGGCGGGCGGGCTTGGGAGCTTGAGCACAAACAGTTGCAATTGCGCGACCTGTCGACCCCCCAGCGCACTCCACGCTAAAGTTGCCACTATGCCGAAGAGGGTTGCCATGGCCATTGCATATTAAGACGCACCGACGGTGCCAATGGCAGGGAACGACGCCTCGGCTCCGAGAGCGGTCGCAGACACTCGCAGGCAGCACATACGTACATGGTGCAACACTACATTATACACTAGAACCATCGCGCGCGCTTTGCGCGCGCTCAAGTTCTAGCTAGGCTTGACCGGCTAACTCATATAATATCATGTTGGTCGTTTCTTGCGTCCAGGGACTCCCTTGGAGGCCCTGCGCAAGCCTCGGAATCCACACTGAGGACAGAGACAGCCCATCAATCGCATTGAGGAGGGAGTCCGCGACCAGCTCAGCAGCTCGGACGGGGGAGCGCGCGGCCATGCTCTGCCAGCTACGCCCCTGGCCGCGCGGCCGTCGACTTGAAAATGAGGCCGCCCCGAGAACGAGCACGCCGCACTACGTGGATCACACCGACGTCAAGACGCTGGGGCTGGGGGCAGGGCCATCTGAACGCGCGCGTGGCCGAGCGGGCGAAGGATCCGCGCTGACAGAGGCCCCGACCAAGTTCCTGACACGCACTGTGACAAACGATCGTCCGAAGTTCTGGCAAGGACCAAATAGGGCTGGCCTTTGGGTGCCCACTGCAAACTGCCACCAGATGGCTGACACAGGCTCGAACTACCCCGATGGAAGCTTGCAGCTCGACACTGCACGGCCAAAATGTCGGCGACGTCGCGAGTCAGGGCGCGGAAGAGGCGCCACCCCAAGGACCAGAGAAAGCGCGAGCAGGAGGCGACCCAGACTCGATACAGGGCCCCCTAGACAGCGAAAACCAACAAGCACAGACCGCCGACGATCGAATCCAGCCCAGGAGTCGATCGACAGGGGCCCGCCCAGTCAACCCGAGACCTACGTTCCGACCTGCGCCAAGCGCGGGGCAACCCAGACCGCGCCGACGCAGCGCTTTGCAAACGGGGGCCCCGCGGGGTCCAACCGCGGGCCAACCGAGCCGACGACGACAGGGCGCCCGCGCATGAGCACGTCGAAAAGCCGACCTCGTTCGAGAACCTATCTCCTGGTCAAAACAGGCGCCCGCCCCACGTGCCGAGGAGCGGGCGACGCGGCCCGGGGCGGCGCGGCCCGCGGGAAGGTGCCCGACAGGAACATGGCCTCGATCAGCTCTGGCAGCCTCTTGAAGACCTGCCCCCCAAAGTCGGCGACCTACGACGGCGGGCCCCTGATCCTCTGCTGCGCGCGCGCCCGCTTGCCGCATCTCCTCGGGGACTTGTCCGAGATCCACCTCCCCCTCCCCGTCGCTCCGCCATCGAGCGAGCCCCCGAACGCAGGTCGCGAGAGCCCCCCCCCCCCCCCATGGCCGAGGGCGCACAAGGACGGCGACTCCTTCTACAGACCCAGCTCCTGCAAAGCCTGGCCGAACATCGCGCCCGCGTCGGCGAGCTCGAAGTTCCAGAGGCTCGCGTCCGCGGGGGCGTCGAGGGTCAGCGCGCGCAGCACGGGCCAGACCTCGAGGGCGTCCACCAGCGCCGACTCGTCGGTCACCCCCGTCTTGTCAGGCCGACCTGACTTCGCGCCGTTCACGACGATGCCCCAGGCTTTGAACCCCGAGCCCAAGATCGGGGGCACCAGCGACCCGACGCGCAACCGATGGGCCTCGAACGGCCTGAGGCACGCGTGCAAGACCAGCGCCACGAACGCGGCCGCGCTGGGCAGGTTCATCCATATGAGCCAGCCCGCCACCGCCATCGCCGCGGAGCGCGGCAACGGCAGGCGCATCTGCGGCGGGGCCAGCCAGCGTCGGCCATCCAAGGCCCGCGCAACCCGAGGGAGCGGTCGCTTCCCGACCAGGATGCGGGGCAGGAAATGCCGCGGCGCCGCCGCCGTCACCCCCCCCGTCGCGGAGTCGAAACCGTCCAAGGCCAGGTCGGTCAAGAACGACACTAGCACCACGTCCAACTGGCAGGCCGCGCGGAAGTCGCGCTCGTGCTACCCCAGCCACTCCAGGAACCGCAGTGCATGACCTCGGTATCGAGCTCTCGTCGCATCCGTGACGACCGACGCCCCCAGGAAACTGATGGCCCCCACGGCAAACTCCCCTGGTCGAGGGTGGCCCAGAGCCTGGGCAACCACGATCGTCAAAGCCAGCTGCTTCCAGGACGGCGCGGCCCCCTGCGGCCTCGCTCGTATCCTGGAAGCCTTTTCCATGGAAGAAGCCGTAGCGGGGCCCCGGGGCGGCCAGTCGGCCGCGTTCAGCTCCGACGGTAGCCGGCGGACATAGCGCCGAAGGTTGGTGGCCAGCGCGAGGGCCGCCAGCCTCCGCAATGGTCGCCGAAGGGCGGGCTTCCGACCCCGCCCTTCACCGGCCGCCAGAGCCGAAGGTAGATTATCGGCGAGGAACAGATGGCAGCGATGGCGAAGAGACACCTTGCGAGCTGCATGCCAAGCAGCGTCGCGCAGCGCATCGCCCTCATGCTTCAATATGTTATCGAAAGGGTCCCAGCGCCTCCTGGAGATGACGGCGGCCCGCGATGGGGCCTGCACGACGTCGCCTGGGATCTCGAGAAAGCCATCGTCGAAGACCTCGGGGTGGGACGACGCGGCCGAATCTCTGACGACAGCCTCCAGGAAATCCGAGTCGTCGGAGGCCTCATCGAGACCCAGCGCGTTTGCCCTCGCCGTTTCCGCCGAAGCGCACCGGCACCGCCACCTGTCCGCTCGCCCCCCCATCTCGGCCACGCGGGGCCTTTCAAGGTGACGAATGCAGACGCCGAAACCGATGGGAGAGGCGCCGGGGGCCGAGACGCGCGTGCCCCACAGGACGTCCAGAGAGGAAGGGTGCTAGCAACGCACCATAGCCCGAACTTCACGGAGTCCCACAGGGGCCTCACTCCAGGATCCTTCAAAGACTTGAACGCGGAGACCGACGACAGAATGGAGAAGGTCTTTTACAGATCATTGCCCATGCGACGTGCTTCAACAGGACCTCGAGCATGCGAGGCGACGCGGCCCCTCGCAGCGCAAACGCCAAGAGCGCCTGCCGAAGCCGCATCACGCTGGAGGGATTCACTCCCGCGGCCCCGAGGTCGCCGTTGATCTCGAAGCCCGTGAAGATGGAGACGGAGGAGGCCTCGTCAATCGAGTGATCGGGGGGCCCCACGCCTCCAAAGTACGAGTGGCCCGGCCCCTCTTGGCCGCGACGAGGCCCGCGTCGCCGCCAACGAAGATGGCGAGTTGTCGACGCAGCCAGCCGCGGCCGCCCTGCCCCGCGCGCGCAGCGCGAGACTGGGGCGACCAACCTCTATGAGGTCGCCGTCGCCGAAGCCGTTCTGAACGAGGGCCCTCCGCGCGCTGCCCCGGCAGAACAGCAGCGACCAGCTCCAACTCCTGGACAGCGCGCGCGCCATGGGCTGAAGGACGCAGTCGATGGGCAGCGGCCCCCCGTCGATCTCATTGACTCGCAAGAGGCGAATTGAAATGGCGGGGGCGAGAAATGCCCCTCCACGCCCGCGGGCGCGAGCACGCGGTAGAAGGCGCGCTGGATATCGCCCTGAACCAGCACCCTAGGATGGTCAGACTCCAGGGCGGCACGCCCGGCCGCCGTCGGCAGCGCGGTCTTGGGCGGCGCCTCGGCCCCCCCGCTCGCCAACCGCGCGCCGCCGAGCCCGAGCGCATCTCTGCCAACTTTCTCAGCGAAGGAAAACCCGAAGCTATAAGGATCAGCGGCACGCGCCGCGCGAAAGCTGATCATTCCACCCTCAAGCAACTCCCCCACGAAACCAGCGCGCGCCCGGGGGCCGCTGGCCAAAATCGGGTCGACGCAAGGACGCCGCGGCACTGCAGCCGCCCTCGGGCACAAAGCAGACGACTCACCTGCAAGCATGGTCCGCCCCCGCCCCGGCAAACATTCGCGCTCGGCATGGCACGCGAAGGCAGCGATGTCATTTGGCCCCGTTGAAAGGTCAGATCAAGACACCCTGTCCTGGTTGTAGGGCTTGACGCGGTGGGGGCCCGCGAAATACCCGGGCGCCGACGCGAGCAACTCTGTCAAGGCTGCTTCGCCAGAGCGGTGGCCCTCTTGATGCCCAAGGGGAAAAGGAAAATGCGGATAGGTCCGAGCGACGCGGCCCACCGCGCTCGCCTGAGCCGCCGACGCCGCCAAGCCATGCGGAGCCGAAGACGGCGGCGAGTGGCCACTGAGCTGGCCCAGGGCAGCGATGCCGTCGTTGGCCCACCGCCGCCGAGCAGCCCAGCGCGGGGCGCGCTGGCGCCATCGCCGACCGCGGCAAACTTTCGCGCGAGCATCCACGGGCAAAGTGGACGCACCGCGACTGACGGGCCCCAGGGCCCATCAGGCAGACAAAAATGGTGGAAGACGAGGCCGCCCCGAAAATGCAGGGAGTCGCCCGGGCGGCGCGATCGCGCCTGCACCCGCCTGTGAGAGGCGTCCGCAAGGCTATGCGCGCGCCGCCCGCTCCTCGCGGACATCGCGCCTCCCCTCGGCAACTGCGGCCTCCGCCTTCAGCTGCAACGCAGTGAACTCGGCGAGAGCTGGGGCGATGCACGAGTTCCCCTTGCTCGCCGACGCTCCCATGTAGTGGTCCGCCCCGGCCGCGAGCACAGACTCGCTCGCGCCCGAGACCTTCTTGTCCTTGCCCGCCTTCTTGTCCCCCACAGCGACCTGGGCGGAGAACGTCTCCTCGTGGCGCCGCTACTCGATGAGCTGGGTTCGGCGGCAGATCAGCTCGAACGCCGAGAGCCCGGCGCAATTGACCTGGCCGCAGCAGCTTCCCAACTCGAGCAGCCTGCAATTAATCTCGTGCTGCTGGCAGATCGGACCCGGGTCGCGCAGCCGAGCCTCCGCCTTCCACTTGGAGCGCCGCGTTCCTCCGCACGTGATCCGGGCACCACTGGGTCGTGCGGGGCCCCTTGATCGGCCAGTCTGCCTGGGGCGTGGAAGTCGCCCGCTGGGCGGCAAGCGCGAAGTCGAGCTGCCGCCGCCCTGCGGGATCCCGCACCAGCGGGCGCGCGCGCCTGTCTGCCGCGCCCGCGCCAGGGCCCGCAGGCAGCGCCGCCGCGGCGCCAGGGGCGGCTCCACCGGCGCCGGCGGCCGCCGCGGGGGCCCCCGGCGGCGGCGCGGCCACCCCGAGGGCCGGCCGCCAGGGCGCCTGTCCCGCCATGTCCTGCGGCACCTGCGCCCCCGCCTGGGGGCGCGGCCCCAGCGCCCACGGCGCCCGCGCCTGGCACTGGCGCCGCCACGACCGCGCCCGCGCGGGCGGGGTCGTCCAGCTGAACCGCTCGCGGCACCCAGGCCGCGCCCGCACCCGCGCCCCCCGCCACGACGAACGGCGCGGAAGGCGTCGCGACGCTCAGCAGCCCAATGGTGGTGCGGAGATGCCCCCACATGGCCGCGGCGTTCGGCACGGCTGCGAAAGTGTACAGATTGGCCTCGGCGACGCCGTAGAGCGGGGCGCCGAGCCTTCTCATGGGGCGGATATCCTGGCATCGGCGTCCACCACCGTCGTCTCCACAAAGACGTCCCCGCCGACCGTCAGGATCGCGGCCTCCGATGGCGGCACATCAATCAACGTGATCCACTTGTGGTACACTGGTGGCCCACCAATTCGGTACCAAATAGATCGCACTTCGCCTGGCAGTGGCATTCTGAATCACTGGTGGCCCACCAACTCGGTACCGAATAGATCGCACTTCGCCTGGCAGTGGCATTCTGAATGGCAGCCGGCGCCTGCTGCGTCGCGGCTCTCCTCTGCCGACGTTGAGCCCGTAGACGGCGGCGAAGGTGACGGCTTGCTGCGATGCTGCCCGCCACTCGCGCCTGAAGAAGCCCTCCAGCTCCAGAATACAGGGAGTACGAAGGCCCCCACCAGCACACCGCAGAGGAAGAACACGCAGTGGCTGCACCACGATTCCACCACCTACAGCGCGGTCGAGCCGTCGATGTTGGGACACGGCAGACTGCACGTCGGCGAACAGCCGCAGGAGCACGAGGGACAGGCAGGAGGTGCCCCCGAGGTCGCAGACCACACCACCAGGGCCTGCGAGGCGCCGCGCGAGATATCTGAAGAAACTCGCGTGGCGGCGGCTTGCGTGCCCCTCAAAAGCTTGGGCACGAACCGTTGCAGTTGTGCGGCCATTCGGCCCGCCCCCCAGCACACTCCAGCAAAGGCGGGAGGAGGGAGACGGCGGAGGAGGAGAGGAACGCGGGACGTTGTCTGGTCAAGACGAGGACCCAACACCACAGGATAGTTGGGGAAGAAACAACTGAAAGTACCAGGTGCTGCTTCTTTGTTTTTCGTTTGCCTCTTTTGGCTGGTACCTCCTTGGGCCCTCGGTCATCTTGTGCGCCTGCCACAAAGGGAATTCTTTCGAGGTGGGGTACAAAGGGATTGCTTTTGTATGGGGTTACAAAAGGATTCCTTTGTGACGGGCTAGGAAGACACGGGGAGAGAGAGAGAGAGAGAAGAAGAAGAAGAAGAAGAAGAAGAAGAAGAAGAAGAAGAGAGAGAAAACAAAAAAAGTGACAGAGACAGAACAAAAAAGGAAAAGGCAGAGAAAGAGAAAGAGAGAGAGAGAACGAGACAAAACGCCCCCAAATTGTCCCACATGTTCCATCCACGGGGGGGTGGGGGCTGCGTATGCCCACTGCAGTCGTTGACAGCGATGACGACGACGACCCCGACGACGACGACGATGACGACGCACTGCGGATGCCACATGCGTGTGTGTGTATGTATGTGCGTGTGTGTGTGTGTGTGCGTGTGAGTGCGCGCGTGCGTGCGAGTGTAAGTGTAAGTGCGTGTAAGTGTAAGTGTAAGTGTAAGTATAAGTGTAAGTGTAAGTGTAAGTGTAAGCGTAAGTGTAAGCGTGGGTGTAAGTGTTAGCGTGAGCGTGAGTGTCAGTGTGAGTGTAGGTGCAAGTATGAGTGTAAGTGTGGGTGTAAGTTGACGTGTAAGTGTGAGTGTAAGCGCAAGTGTAAGTGTAACTGTAAGTGTAAGTTCAAGTGCAAGTGTAAGTGAAAGTGTAAGTGTAAGTGTAAGTGTAAGTGTAAGCGTGAGTGTGAGTGTGAGTGTGAGTGTGAGTGTAGGTGTAGGTGTAAGTGTAAGTGTAAGTGTAAGTGTAAGTGTAAGTGTAAGTGTAAGCGTAAGTGTGGGTGTAAGTGGAAGTGTGAGTGTAAGTGTAAGTGTGTGCTTGTGCTTGTGTTTGTGCTTGTGTTAGTGTGTTTGTGTGTGTTGTGTGTTTGTGTTTGTGTGTTGCGTGTGTTGTGGGTATGTGGTGTGTGTGTGTGTTTACGCTGCGTAGGCCCGCTGTCGTCGACGAAGACGACGAAGACGACGCCGACGACGACGACGACGACGATGACCAAGAGAACGACGACGACGACGACGACGACGACGACGACGACGGCGACGACGACGACGACGACGACGACGCACTGCGAATACCATGCCTCATAGGAAGGCGCTGCGCTGCGAGCCCCGCCGCAGTCGTCGACGGCGGCGGCGACGACGACATCGACGACGACGACGAACGACAAACGACGGACAACGGCGACGGCGACGGCGACGGCGACGGCGACGGCGACGGCGACGGCGACGACGACGACGACGACGAAGACGATGACGACGACGACGATCCCCCCGATTGTCGTACGGTCCTGTCCTGGGAAGGACCACGTGGCGCCACGAGAAACGCTTCGGGATCCCATCCACCCACAAGACCACTGTTCTTTCATGTTGGCCACCTCAGCACGGAGGAAAAGGGTCCCGAGGAAAAATGGTCCCAGAACTGTGCCGCCGCCAACGGACCCCTGCACGGACCCCCAGACCACCAGACAACGGCTCAAGATGGGGGGCTGGTCCTGGAGAAGACCCCAAGGTTTATGACCCGTGCCCCTCGGGAGACTTTCCCTTCATGGCGGCTGTCCTGGGCCACCGCCGTCGAGCCCAGCAACAGCCAGCGTTCCATTATTCGCGATCACGCCCGTGGCTGGCCCCGCACCCCTCCCCCCTCCTCCCTCCCCCTGGCCACGACCGTGATCGCCAAGGGACACAAAAGCTGCTTCGGCTGCCCCGGGCCGCCGCCGAGCCCAACAACCACGGCCAGCACCTGGCCCCGTCGAGCGCGCGGGCGGGGACCTCCTCGGCTCGACCTCCTGGTCCAGCTCGTCCGTGCTCCGCCTCCTCGCAACGCTGGGCCGCCGCGCAGCACGGCTGTTACACATGTCCGCGCAAATTCTGTGGGTCGGCGCTGGACCCATCACTGGCGCGCGGAGCGCGCCAGGGGCGGCGACAGAAGGGCCGCCGAGACGGAGTCACCGACAACCCAAGAAAACCGCGCAGGTCTCAGAAGGGGCATGCTTACGCTTTCTCGTGTTCCTCGATCGCAGGCCCCGGCACGTGCCATGCCGAACACGATGACCGTGCGACCGACCGACCATGCACCACCGTGACCGGCCTCCTGGAAGTCTTCCACGACCAGGGTCGTTCCTCAACGTGCCTTCCAAGACGGTGGTGTAAACTATCTTGCGCATTCAATGTGACGCCGCCCAAATTATGTCGTGAGCGATCCAAAAGCGCACCGCAAGCGCGAAATTATTTCTATACCGTGCAACCAACGTGGTGCAATCCAACAGCGGCGACGACCGGCGACACGGCGGCGGCGAGGCGGCGACGGCGGCCACATAGCCGCAAGACGACAGGCGGCGACGAGGCTGCGACGGGGCGGCAACGGCGGCCACATAGCCACCAGACCGACGACACGGCCCAGCTCCTGAGAACAGGAGTCAAAACCCCTTAAGTGCAAGCACTGCTTGGGGAAAAGGGATGGGGGACCGAGGATCACGACCATGAGAAGGTGGCCAAATTGAGGTGGCCAGGTGGAGACACGGCCCCTGGGTCACCTGGGCCCGAATGGGGCATACCCATCACGTGTAAACAGAGCGCAAAACTTGCTGGGAACTAGAGCACGGGCAGTCGTGCGGCCATTGCCGTCGCTGCCACGGCCACATAAAGCGGCGCGCTGCGAGCCTCGCGCGCGCCAAGACTGGGGATTCGTCTCAAGGCAACAAGAGCGAAAGAGAATGAGGATAAGGAAGGGGTGCCCAAAACCAGCGTCAGTTCAACCAAGACACTTGGTCGGAGGGCGGCTTACATTCGACCTCCTTCGTGCTGCGCTGCTGCATTGGCACGGTGAGGTGGTCTGCCGCCGGCTGCCAGATAGCTGTGGTTCGTACCATCGCCCGAGCTGGGTGACAATGGAAGGACGCACGAGGCTACTCAGTTTTTTGATTGTTGGGTCGGGGCTGGAGGATCGCATTATGAACTAGCGGGTGTGGATATCACTCTGGGGGCTCAAAGTAGAGGGGGAAGTAGCGATCGGGACACGCAGCGAACGAGGCTGCGTTCTCTTCTTGTCTCGCGCGCGCGGGGCGGCGTTAGCGGCGCGCCGAAGTACTCAAGGGCCCTGCGAGCCGAGAGGTGGCGGCAGGGCAGCAGTGGAGAGAGCGACAAGGAAGGAGGACAGATGGGAATACACATAACAACCACAGAGGACAACTGATTATGACCCGATAGGCCCCCACCGCTGCTCAACAGACCGCCTTTCACGGAACTCGGCGGCTGCGATCTGGGCGCCGTGCGGCGTGCAGCATCAAGCAGAGCGAGGAAGCTTGCAAAACAGGACGAAGGAGGCAGGCAATCGGACTGATAAAGCTCAAACCAAACCGCTGGTCACGCCGTCGTCCTTCTCCCCTCCTCCCCCCAACCCTCCTGCCTCTCCTCTCTCCCCCTGACCTTCCGCTTCCGCCTCACCTCCTCCCACCCTCTCCAGTCCTCCATTCCCTCCCTCCCCCCGCCCCCCCCCCAATCCCCCTGCTCACCACACCGCCCCTCCCCTCCCCCAAGTCCCCGCCCGAGCCCCTCCCGCTCGAGCCCCACCTGCCGCCATCGTCTCCTGGGCCCCCGCGCCCAGCCGTCCTTGGAGAAACCAGAGGTACCGATACCGCTACTCACGAGACCTCTCCTGGAGGGGCGTTCTGACCAGAATCTCGAGGCGAATCCAGCGGTGGCGACGGGGGCCTTCCAGGAGGCCCCAAAAAAGGAAGACGGGCGAAGGGTAGCGGTATGGGTACATGTTCCTCCTCTGATCCCCGCCCCCGCCCGTCCAGAGACACCTCGGGGACCGAACCAAAAGGTGCGCACACGCGCCCCAAAACGCGCTGCACAATAGCAGCCTCGCCCGCAGAGCAGGAAGTGCCCACTCCGGCTTCCCCCCCCCCCCTCCCTCCACGCCCCCGCCCCCACCCCGCCTGCCCACCCCGCACCACCACTTTGGTTGACCCATAAGGAGGTCCAGCTGAAAGGCGGTGGTACTATAGGTACGTGGCAATTGTATTGCAAATGCTGCGCCAGAAAATTGTATTGCATTAG